GATTCATGTGACAAAGACAACTAAGGTCTTCAGGGTACTTTTTACGCTTGAGTGAATTCTTGCCAGTTCTAATAAATGGGGCATTTGTGGGGAACAGTTGGAATTAAGGTTGTTCCTAAATACTTCTGTTTGAAAATTAAAGACACTAGAAGGAAGTAAACACACAATATGCCTAGAGAGCTACCTGGGTAATATGCGTGGAGAAAAGAGCATTCATAACATAGTGAGGTAGATTGGTAGCATAATATTTGTGCTAGAATAAGCTAAAATAATTAGTGAAGCATACTGGGAAAAGCTTGCATTTGAAACTGTTGAATTGGGGCAGGGAGGGGGAAAATAAGAAAATAGCAGTGAAGATAAGTGTGGAAAGGGAATGCGCTTTATAATTTGGCATGAACTTCAAGGTCTGAATGATTCATACGTGAAAGCATGTTTCTCAAAATGTTTTACTGATTGTTAGTTCAGTTCTTTGTTTTTTTGAAAATGTGAGAGTTGGTGTAGTGGACTGTAGTGCAGGTGGTTGTGTTAAAAAAAACAAACCCAAAAACTACTTGTAGCAGTTAATTTTTGTAGGGGGAGAATGTTTCTGTAGACTTTTTTTAAAAAGAAAGTAAGGAAACTCTTTGTACTAATGCACTTGAATGTTCGTTTACATACTACAGAAAGACAGTAAGTGCTGTTTGCAAAGTCACCTCTGTACTGGAAGTAGAACAAGCAACTAGCAGGCTCTCCTGAGAGACCCTACTGCCTGGTGGGAAAGAATTTCCCACAGGAGGATGTGGGGGAAGAAAGGCAAGTTCCTGTGATTGTCTGTTCAGAAGTTTGGCTTGAGTTTGGTTATTATCTGCCTGAGAGATAACAGGATTACTGGAAAGGTGCTTCAGGGAGTTCCCTTCCTCCTCAGGGTGGGACCAGCTGTGAGGCCTGAGCAGGTTGCCTAGGGCTTTTCCAGTTGGGTATTGAAACCCTTTGAGGATGGATCAGCTCTGTGGGCAATGGGCTCTCCTGCTTCACCCTCATGGGAGGAAAAAAGCATGCTGTATTTATCAAATCGAGTCTTTTTCTTAATCTGGCTAGCAGAACTATGTGGCCTTCATTCAAAATGTGAAAAGTTTGAAAAGGTTCTCTGGAGGACTTCAGGAGTTGAACAGTGAGAAGTGGTTTTGTTCTGAAATAAGCACATTGCTTAAGAGAAACAAACAGTTAAGCATGTTTGAAAATAGATATCATGGTGCTTTTTCAGCCATTTGAACAATTTTAGTTGTTAAATTACAGACTTGATTTAATAAATAGTTACATAAAAGTTGTGTGAATAAAGTAATACTGTCAATTCTAGCTTTACTTTGAAGATCTGGGACTGGCTATAAAATTCTGTCTTGCTGTGGAGTATGTTAGGATGAATTGTACTAGCTCTACTTCAAAATGTCTAAGATAAGGTATTCTTACTGACAATATATTGCATTTTCCCCCCTTTTCTGTGAGCAGTTCCTCACCATCTGGATTTATGACCTTGACATCTTTTCATGGGTTTATTAATGTTCAACAGATGTGTTCTGCTTTAAAAAAAAAAAGAAAAGTTTGTATTGCATCCCAGTAGTCCTCCCTGTTGTGTTCAAATTAACTTTTGGGTTTTTTCTGCCTCCAATAAAGGCAGAAGAAAAAATGGTTTTTAGAATTGGATGTGGGCGAAAAGAAGCATAGAAGGAGCAGAAGTGTAAAATTGGAAAAATAGTAGATATTTTGTTAGAACTTCTAGGACTTCAGATTTTATAATGATGGCCTTAAAGTTTTATTGTTAAGCATTTGATATTACGTAATGTTTTGCTCATTATTGATTATGCAAGTATAATAGCTTGACCAGCAGCTGCATTTGAAAGCAATTGTAATGTTCATGCATAGTTTCTCAGCCCACACACTGGGCTGTCAGATGAAGATGGTCTGTGTGGATAGAAAGTAAGCCTGTAGCAGATTTTAAGACTTTCCTGAGGTTAATTTTTACATTACACTTTAAAATTGGGGGTAGGGGATGATGAAAACAACTTGTATGTTGACCACATCTGTGCTACTTCTGAAATTCTATTTAAATCTTTTTAACCATGAAGAATTCAGTAGGTTGTTCCTGTATTGTCTAGTTCAAGAAGCCTAAAGTTCTTTGTGTTTTGAGTTTATAATTGTTTTTTGCATGTGTGTCTCAAGTTCATTCATTATGTAAATTGCATGCAGTTGCATTCTGTTGCAAAATATTTTCTCAATATAGAAATGAGCCACACCCATTACTTCTGAGGTGCATTAATCTTAAAAGCAAGTGTGAAGTGTTTATAGCAAGCTCTTTGATTTTGGAACGAGTAAAGAATTTTTGTTGCTTTTTGTGGTCCAGGCTGTGTACGTGATCAGTCATAAGCTATTTTCTTTTCTTAAAAAGAACTTGATGCTTGATTAAAAATGGAAAGCTTTTGTGACAAGAGTTTTTAGGACCTACAGAAAAGATGGGCATCCAGGAGTAACTATCTGTATTGGTCCATTTGACAATGTCAGTGAATTTTCCTTTTTGCATGATTTTGTTTTCCTGATACAGCCATTTACACCAGTGTTCTTGAATTAATCTAGACATTTAGAGCTGTAAGGAAAACTGAAAATCATCAGCTGCAGTCTATGTGGATCATAGATCGGTACCTATTAGTATATCTGATGCGGAATGCTTGACTTCATTTTGATAGGTGCATGTTCCTTTCAGGATTTAAATTCTACTTTTCCAGCTTGTGTCTTGAATCCAAAAGGCTATAGAGATTTCTGGTTTTACAGTAGTTCAACGCAGCTATCTGTAAGCTGCATGATACTGCCAGAAATGATTTGCAGACTGTTTTAATCTCCAGGAAATAGTAATTTTGGCTCAGTACAGCAAAAATACTTTTCTTTCACAGAGGTTTTTAAATGACTACTGAGGAAAAACATGCATGTCCTTTTGAGTATGTATGTATGTAATCTTTACGGTAAACCATGTAAATCTCAGATCAAATTTGCATGTAATAAAAACATTATTAAAAAACCCCCAAACACTCTGAAACTTCATTTTTAGTGGCATTAGAATAGTTTGCTGAATGCAGACCAGAGGATTATGGTCCAACATCGTGTTTAGTGATACAGACATGGAAGAGAAGTAAAGTAGAGGTAGGAGAAAGGCTGAGAGTCCCTTACCTACTCTCCACTGTAAAATTTGCCTTGTCTAGTGGAAACTGCTGTGGCAAGGATCATCAGACATCAGTGTAATCTGTGTTAAGTGCTAGTCCAATTGACATTCATCTTAACAATTTTAAGAGTATTGTTTTTTCCTATCCTATGTAGAAGAACTTGCAGAATTCTTACAGGAGGAAGCT